TGTCACCTCCACATTGTGGCCTGAGCTTGTTGCTCAAGAGGAGCAGAGCGAAACTGGCCAGAGGATGGGATGTGTCTCTGTGCTGTCCCTGTCCCCTGTGTGTCCCCAGGGGGAGCAGGGACTGTGTGCACCCCCTGGGCACGGGGATCTGAGGGATCTGAGGGATCTGAGGTGTCTGTGCACAGCCAGCAGCCCTGCAGCTGTGTCCTGGCCAGGAGCCACACCCTGCAGGGAGGCTGTGGGGACAATGCCCTGTGTCCAGCCTGTGGCTGCTCCTTCCCTGGCAGTGTGTGACTCCTCTGCCCCATCCTGGCTGTTTCCCTGGGGTCCCTCCCTTGGCAGCCCTGCTGGGGGCACAGGGATCCCAGTGCCTTGTGCTGGGCAGGGAGCACAGACCTGCTGCTGCCTCGGGCTCCCTGTTCCCCTGGGATAACTGGGAGCAGACCCAGCCCCATCTCCCTGAGCTGGGGTTCCACAGGGGGATGGAGCTGGGGGAGGTCACAGTGTGGGTGCAGACTGGGCTGGGAGCTCTCCCACAGCCTGGAGACCCCATTCTGGTTAAACTGGGGGGAGAGGTTGTGGTTGTGCTCACAGCCTCATGGACCTGCACCAAGCCCAAGCCAAAGCTGCTGCCTCCTGACTTCTGACCACTGAAGCCATTCCATTGCCCCCCCGAGGGTTCCCACCATTTTTTGGAAGGATGATTTTATGCTCAGAACTCGATTCTGTTCCTGCTTTCACCAGGGACTCGTTCTCAGCTTCAGAACTGCTCTGATAACTCTGCAATTGCATTGACAGTTCCAGAGGGGAGCACAGTCCCTTCACACAACAGATGGAGACACATTTGCAGGACCATTCAACTTTGCTGTAACTCCCTGTTTGTTAGAACAATTCCTTCTGCTGTAACGGGGAGAGCAAAATTTGGCCAGTGCTCTTGAAAAACCTGCAATCCTAAAGTTGGATAAAATCAGCCTGGAATCCAAGTCCTCCCAGATCCAAAATGCCTTCCACACCTGCTGGCTTCAGTGGCACTGGGGATTTTGGCAGCTTGCACAGCAGCAGCAGCAGCAGCAGCAACTTCAGAATATTTTTGCGTGTGTCAATCTGCGCTTGCACGTGCCTGCAATGCATGGCTCCAGCAATCCCTGGGAAATCTCCCCTTTCCCAGGAAAATCCCAGCTCCAGCTTCTCCCATGTGGCCATGTGTGCTCAGCAGGGAGTCAGGGGAGAGGGAGAAAGCTGCTGCTTTAAAGCACTTGGTTCCAGAGGTGAAATAGAATTTAGGAGAGGTGAAAATCACCTTGGGAAACTCGTGGCATATCCAAGCATTCCCATGCAGATCCACCTTTTTTATTTTTTTCCCTGCTGGGAAAATGAAGCAGACTGGCAATTCCTGGCCTCCACCCCAGCAGATGTTTGGCTGTGATGGAAATTTGAGCCCTGGAATCACAGGAATAAAAACCCAAGAGGTTGTGAGCTCAGAGCTGAGCAGTGGCAGCACCTCACTGCCAGGGCTGCTGCTCTCCTGCCTCACTCATCCACGCCCTACCTGGCCAGATTTTGGGGAGGAAGAGCCTCAAAGTGAGCAAATCAAACCTGAGAATTCCTGGTTTATCAGGAGCCTGAAGTTTTGCAGCTATTCCTCATTGCAGTGGAGAGGAATTGGGCGAGACTCCTGTATCCAAAGCTTTCAGAGCTGTTCTGGAGCTGTGGAAAAGCAAGAACTGGGATGCAGGGCAGCTCTCTGCAGAAATCTAGGAGGGAAAAACACCAGGCAACGTATTTTCCTTCCAGGGGCATCCTTAATACCTGGAAAATTGAAAGGCTAAATACTGGAAAAGTTGGTCTAAAAGAGGAGCTAATGCAGGGTTCCTTCTTGCTGCTTTGTTCTCATGTGTTGGTTTTGGGGTGAGGAAAGCAAACAGAGAGCAAAGAGCCAGTGTGTCAAATTTGGATTAAATCAAACTTTTTGTTCCTACAATAACTGCTGGCGGAGATTTTTCAAATGTATCAAGGGCAACAAAACCAGCCTTAATTAACTGAGACATTAATGCTCCTTGCTTCTGAGCCTGCTTTTGTGTTCTCCTCTCTGTGTGATCGTGGCATGGAATCCTGTCTTAACAAAAGCCACTTCCCAGCAGCCCAGAGGATGCTCAGGAACAGGGATGGGGTTGGAGAATCTCCCTGTGAGTGAGATTCAGTGCTAAACCCCTGCTTTGCTAAAACCCTGCAAGATAGGCAAATCCTCACAATTCCCAAGGTTGAATTCCCATGCTCTGCTGCCTCGAAATGCCTTTAAAAACCCCAGGCTGTGTGTGCTTTGTGAGCAGTGTGCAGCTTTTCCAGAATGCACACACAATTCCCCAGGCAGAGGATGAGCAGAGCACGGTGACTTTCAGCCGGGACTCGTCGCTTTTTTCCATTGCACAGAGTTTAAAACACCACTTCTGCCAGCTGCCCGGGGAATTTGATGTTCAGTGCCAATTAATTTTTGTAATAGGAGCAGGGATTTATCCCCTTGGCTCCCCCAGGCACCTTCAGTCTCAGACTCAAAGGTTGGGTTGGTGTCTTTCATTTTCCAGTGGCCTTTTCTTGAAGAGCAGCGGTGCCACGGTGAGGACGGGGACTGGGCTGGGGAAGGTGGCAGCTTTGGGGCAGGCAACTCCCAAATTTTCCATTGTAAACCCTTCAGACGTGGGTTCTGCAAGCCCTGGCTGCTCCCTGCTCCCCTCACACCCTCAGGTCACTGTGCCTTCCTCTGCTCGAGGAAACCATGCCAAGATCTGAGCCTGGCACTCTCACTTTGCATCCCATCCCCCAGGTGTGTGTGGGGCAGGGGGAGCTCCTTTTGTAGCTGCTTTTGGTGTGATCCCAGGGTAGGTTTGTGCAGGGGTGGGGTGACCTGAGCTGTGTGTGATCCTACCAGTGCTTTAAGCAGCCAGAAACGTGGTTCTTCCCCTACCTCCGAGCTCTCAATGCTGCTAAAAATCTCTGCCATTCGTCCCCCGTGCTCCTGCCCCTCTCTCAGACTGGCTCTGGCTCTGTTTGCAAGATATCCACGTTGTTCTGAAGCATGCACCTCTCTCTGTATAGTCCCAATCTTCTGATTTTATGGAATACTTATGCCTGTTTGCATTACGGTCCAAATAAAAAAGTGAACTAAAAGCTGGCAGCTCTTCTCTCCTCTCTGGGTTTTTAACACCAGAAGGTGCTCGAGGTCTCTGCCGGTGCCTTGGCCTCGCT